GTTTGGATTGGGTAAGAGTGGGTCGGGTCAACTCGTATTGGGTTAATGTTGTAACCTATGCGGGTCGGGTTCGGGTTGGGTCATGCTTGAGTTGGGTCATACATCATATCGGGTTTGGGTCGGGTTTAGGTCGGGTTAATAACAGGTCGGGTTACATTCGGGTCGGGTGAATGATAGGTCGGGTTTAATTCGGGTTTTCACTGGTTAAAATGGGTTAGGGTAATTCTCAGGTTTGAGTCGGGTTCGGTTCAAGTCAATAATTTGCGGGTTAAAATCATTTCGGGTCATCCTCGGATTTGAGACGGGTTCGGTTCAAGTCAATAATTTGCGGGTTAGAATAATTTCGGGTCATCCTCGGATTTGAGACGGGTTCGATTCAAGTAAATAATTTGCGGTTATAATCAGGTCAGGTCATTTTCAAGTCGAGTCATGTTCAGGTTCAAGTCGGGTTTAGTTCTAGTAAATAATTTGCGGGTTATGATTAGGTCGGGTCATTTTCAATTCGGGTCAGGTCTCAAATATTGGGTTAATTTGGGTATCGAGTTGATTTCGGGTCGAGTCATCTTGGGTTTGGGTACATTTTTGGGTCGGTTTGTTAACCGTTCATGTAATGACAATATAACAATATATATGGCAACATACTAGCTAGGGAAATATAGCCTATAATTTAGGAAGATAATTATCTCCTTTGGCCATACAACAAATATATACTATATTTAACTCTTAAATTTGGGGATGATATTTCTTTCTTTTGCTGGCCTGGACCGACTTAGTCTCCCTAGTTAGACAAAATGTTTTGATCAATAATATAAGGTGGTCTAAATTAAATTTAAGGTGATTTGAAATCGGGTTAGGAAAAATTTTGGTTGAATTTAGGTCGGGTCAATAACAAGTCGTGTTGATTTCGGGTCGGGATAGTAACAGATCCAGTTGAATTTTGGATCGGGTTAGTAATAGGTCGGGTAAAATTCAGGTCGGGTCAATAATAAGTAACGTTGATTTCAGGTCGGGTTTGTAACAGATCATGTTGAATTTCGAGTTGGGTTAGTAACAGGTCAGGTTAAATTCCGGTCAAAATTAGGAACGAGTCAGGTTATATTTGAGTTTTGACGGTTTAAAACGAGTGTGGGTCAATTTCGATTCAGGTCGGGTTCGGTTCAGGTCAATAATTTACGGGTTACATTCGTGTTGGGTCAACTCTAGGTCGGTTCATGTTCGGGTTTGGGTCTCAAATACTTAGGTCAACTCAGGTCTAGGGTTGGTTTCCGGTCGGGTTCGGGTTACCATTTTTTTAGGTTCAGATAGGTCGGTTAATAATCGGGTTCGAATTGGTATTTTGGGTCAGTGGATTCAATTTCCTAAGTATTTTTTTAAACAATTAATCACTTTTAAAAAAAATAATATGGCCCCTTTTCATATTTATTACTCTAAAAAAAAATAAAAAAAATTAATTTGGCTCGCCCTACAATAATCTTCTAGATCCGTCCTTATCTAAAATTTTGTACCTATTTTTGGATATTATGTAAAGACAATTATATTTTCATTCTATTTTTTAATTTTATTCATTGAATTTCCTAAATTACACTTGATTTTTTCACTTGTCAGGTACTTTTTTTCACTTTCTCTCTTAAATTTTATCTAAAATTATATTTAATTTATTCTTTTTTTGATATAATTCATCCACTTCCTCTTTCCATTTCTTAATATGGGACGGAGAGAGTACTAAAGCATAAGATGTAATTCTTGTTACATTGTTAATTATTTAAATGAAACACAAACCAATATCAAAATAAAAGGAGACATAAAAGTTTGGGTTTGTAATCACTAAACACATAAAGAAAACCAAATAACATAATATACTATATATACAAAATACAAATAATAATATAGGGTTCACAAGTTAAACAAAATTATACAACTTAGGCCATGCTTGGATTGAGAATTTAAAATAAAAATAAAATGAGGTAATAAGAAGTCAAACTAGGAACTAGATAAGTGATTAAAGGTGTTGTAAGGGATACTACGTTTACAAATGAAATAAGGTAGGTGTGATACGAGGAAATGAGAAAGAGGGATCAGAGGAATAATTACCCTTACTCCTATCCTCTCTTCTAGAAGTCCTTATTATCCACTAACCTGGACCGATGAACCCGTGAGAGATTTCGATTTATTAGGATCTTTCTTCTTACCAACAAAAAAGAATGACAATAATTGTTTTCCTGTAATTTCTTAACCTCTATCACTACATAATTTCCATTACAATCACACCATCATTATCTCTTACTTCCTCCGTTTCTTTATAGTTGCAACACTTTCAATTCCTAAAATGAAAATGTCATAATAGTTGCAACACACTATAATTGAAAAACATTTTATGTCAAAAGTTGTACTATCACCCTTGTTATACTCCACTAAATTATACTCTTAATAATCTCTCTCTTCCATTTTAAGTGTTTTTAATCACTCGAGATCCACTTTTCTTAAATATCATAAAAAAGGGTGTGTTACAAATATTAAGAAACAAGAGAAAGTACTTCTTAATATTCAATCACTAACTTTCGTATTGTTTAATTAGGATTGATTGAGAAAAGAATGGTGGACATATTGGAACTTGCGATCTTTAATTTAGTAATGAAGCAAATCAAAGCTTCTACTGCGGACCTTTTTTATTTTATTTTTTTTATTTCTTTTTTTTTTTACTGCTAGGATGTCTTGTGTGTGATTAGCTATATCATTTCACCGCATAAAAAAGAACAAATTAGTCTCTAACTCTCTATATAGCACTGACCAAGTAACCTCTATGACATTGACCTTGTAATACTGATCAAGTAACTCGTATAATACTAACGAAATAACCCCATGATGCCCGATCACATGGTGTGACCAACCATATATAAAATTATTATTAGTGCAGCCTGTTTTGTGTGTGGATGGCCATATCGTGTGACCACTTATAAAAAAATCAAAGTAACCCCTATAACACTGATCAAGTAACGACCCCTGTAATAATGGTCGAGTAACCCCTATTACAATGACCAAATAACCCTATAACAAAGACGAAGTAACTAACCCCTTTAATAATGATCAACTAATAACCCCTTAATCCTGATAAACTAATAACCCCTATTACACTAAAAAGTAAACCTATGATGGTTTAAAAATATAAAGTAACTCTATAATGACTGGTCACAGCTATAAGAATTTGTGCTTATTAATTTGTCCAAAAACAAAATTTTAATTTTTTATCAGCAAATTATCATTTCTAAAAAGAAAAGAATCAATCTTTTTGTTGTTCAGACGAACACTACAAGAGGGGAGTGAATTGTATGTGAGTTCCTATTGACTATTTTTTGCAAAATGTAAAACAAACATTAAAGGAACTTGCAATGCACACAATATTTTACGAGGAAACCTTCCAGGGCCCAACCGAAAGTAAAACCACGACCCTTCTAAGGGATTTCCAAATCAAACTAATTCACTATAATAAGGCAAACTTCTCAAGTTACAATCCTGTTATAATCAGACCACTACTCACAAGTTCCAGAATGAACTTGCTACACAGTAGGACTCTATCCTACCCAGTCTATGTCCCTGACTTAGACTCACTCGTACTTACTAAGTACAAATCTCACTATTGTATGCAAAGATTAAATACAATCACACACCCAAGATCCCAACCAATTACAAAGCATGAACTTATTATATGAGAGGAAAGCAATGCATGAAATCCGAAACAATAATGACAAAGCTAAAGACTTGGCAAACTTACACAATTGAGCACTCTTAGATTTTCTTCACGCATAAACTCACAAAGAATGAATTTTCAGATCTCTACTATATATACAAGACTAGCTTGTATAGAAAGTGGGGTTTTAAAAGATAAACATATAAATTTTCATAAATCCAAAAACACGGTTTTAAGTAAATCTTTTTAGAAGAAAATCTTTTAGGAAATTTAGTAAATTTAGTAAAGATAGATTATCTTAAAGAATAAAATCGATCTTTTAGGATAATCAGTTTTTAAGATAATAAATCCTTTATGACAAAATCCTTTCTTAAAAACTTATCTTCTTAATTTTCCTAATCTAAGAAGCTTGCCAAGCTTTTGTCATATTTCTATTAATTAAATCTCATGCATAACCTACTTAACTTATTTATAATAATTTCTAAAGATAAAACATTATTTAAACTGAATTGCCGCCAAAATACGTTGATCATGTAGGATGCTTGGGCTTCACGCAGACCAGGACTAAGTTCCTGCTGTCAATAACCTTCCAGTTTTAAGCTGGAACTTTGCAGACCAAGTTTTTCCAAAACTTGTTGTCTTCAACGCAGACCAAGTCAATTTCTTGACTAGCTAACTTCAGGTTCCTATTAAGGAAATTCATTAGTTCCTGTGAGGGAACTCTATCTTCTTCTCTCTTTCTTAACTTTCCTTGAGCTCTCTAGGATGTCTTTATAAACGAGGCTACTTTTCTACTTTCAAAGTCAACTTCACCTGTCTAGATCATAACACTTAGAAAACTCTTATTAGTTTTGAAGTTTGCTTAGTTTAAGTTTATCATCATCAAAACCTTCAAGCTTCAACACTTTTTTTCGCTACAAGAAATATATAACAAATTATTCATAGGACAATGCATTAAGACGTGCACACCATGTAACAACATGGAGGTCACCTGTGCTCAAGTCAAAAGGATTTAAATTTTCAGAGGCAAGTAAATTAAGTATAATTATATGCATAGTGTTTGGTACATACTCTGATACTATATACTATATACTTGTATATAGTTAGTAGAGTTGAATCATTACTCAAACGTGCATAAGAATAACAGATTAACAGCTAAGCAAGTATCAACCCAAAATTGAATGTCTTTACAATTATACCTTAGTTGTGATTCAATTCGTTTATACAATGACGTTGTAATTATTTAACATTATTAGTTGGATAAACATCATTATAGCCAACTAATAACAAATCTCGTTCAAATCCTAGTTTTCGTGGTCATTTTAAGACTAGTTTGAGTATTTTCTCTATATAATGTTACATGCTGCCCCGTTTAAGATGAACATATAGTAAACAATTGTCTTGCTTCTCCTCTAGATACATAGCTTATACAGCATCTACATAGTGATGGCGTTTGCAGCAGTGTTTCTTGTGATCCTGATGGCCACACCGTCGGTCTTTGCCATGGATTATCCTCCCTTGAATTACCCCGTTTATTGGAACTTAGCCACTAACTACACAATATGGACCACCAGATCGCTAAGTGCTGGTGATAAGCTTAGTAAGTTTTCTCTTTCTTTGGTTGAATTGTATTTTCAAGGAAATTTTGTCAACAACTACCAATTAAAGCATGTGTTTTGAAAATATTTTTTTAAAAAAAGAAATACCACAAAGTTGTAAAAAGTTTAAGTAGCATTATCACTCTAACAATTTTGGCTAAAATTTTCGGCGTTTGGGTCTCACTTTTTACCTTTATGAAGGGTAATTTAGTCAATTTAGATAGTGATTTTATGAGGTAAAGGTAAAAGTGGAACCTACATGTCGAATATTATAGATGAAATTATTAGAGTGGTAGTGCTATTTAAACTTTTTACAATTTTGTGGTAGTTCTTTCAAAGAAATTTTAAATAGGTAGTTGTTTTCAAAACACGCGCTTTAAATGGTAGTTCTTGACAAAATTTTCTATTTTCAAATTTATTTCTTACGCAAGCGTGCTACTCATGAGATAAACATAAATTAAATGATCATTAAAAAACTTAAACGAGCTATACCCAGTTAATTCCCCAGATAAACAAAATGTGGGGGTATAATTGTCTTTTCAAGTACCACTGGAGGGGCATATGCGTCTTTTCATGTACTAGTTGAGGGGTACATGTGTAATTTCCTCACCAAACAGTAAAAGCAAGTTGCAAACATTAATTGGATAATTCACCAAAAGTACTGAATAAATGACCCTGCTTTTTCAATATATTTACAAAAATGCCATCAGATTAACAAAAATTCGTTTATCTAACAGATTAACTTGTATTTTCCCAACTTAAACATAATTAAATTTGCCATCATACAATAGTGATATGCAACTCTCTTACAATCTCAAGAAAAAAACAAAAAATAAAATAAAAGAAATCTTGGAAATATATAAATTAAATAAAAAAGGATTATTAATATTTTAAAGGTAAAAAAGGTAAGAATTAAGAACAGAATTATAAAGGTACCTCTTCTGAGAAGTTTAGATTTCTATACTCTTATTGTACACCAAGATTTCTGAAAGGCCAAAATAGTGAGCTTTTTAAAGTATACTAGAAGAAATTTAAACTCCTAGTTATAAAAAGAAGAGGAAGGTTTAAGGTTAAAATTAGAAGTAATTTCAGTTCTAATGCATTTAACATATTTGAAGGATAAATCATAGATGACTTAACAAAATTGATCTTCAAACTAGACATATTACATTATTACCACTTTCGTCTAACACCTCAAGAATGGACTAAATTAGAAGCTTTGTTAGATAAGAACACATCATCTGCATAAAATAGAGGAGACATGGAGATAGAGCTAAGGAGTGATCTTGAAAGGTTTCCAAACTCTAGTTCTAACCTTTTCCTCAATCATGATTGATAATCTCTCTAGATATAAAATAAATAATAAGTAGGTGGGCATAAGATCCTACTGTCTTATTATTCCTCTTGAAGGTCTAAGCTCCCTTGTAATCTCTCCATTTCAAAAAATGTTAAAGTGAAATTTAAATCATAAATTAAATTTTATGTATATCTTTACTAAAAAGTAAAAATAGACTTTATATGAGATTTGTTAATAAACATATAATTTTTCTGTGTTGTATTATACTTTAAAATTAGCAAAATTCTCATTGGTAACCATGTAAAATTGTACATTCTCAATGGCAATACAATTTTTTACGAATTCTCCCAAATAGTATTATAATACTTTTGATAAGTTTCCATAGTATAACAATATTTTTGTAATTAACAACTAATTAACTTAATTAAACAAGAAGTAACCTAATAATTAACAATAAAAAAACCAAACACCCCATCCAAGACCCCAGCCACCCTGCCCGCCACCCTTTTCCCCACCTCTACCATCCCCTGTCGGTGCGTAGTACCCCCGACACCATACCTTGACCTCGACCCTGACCTAGACTCCTGAACCACCCTCCCCATCCCCTGATCTGAACCATCCTCCCACTCCTTAAAACTCCATCCCCTATCCTAGAATAACTCTTTCTTCCCACTGGCCGACACCAAAACCCCCTCCCATACGCTGCTAAAAATAATTTGCTCCACCCCTACCGTCTCTACTCTCCCCCCCCCCCCCCCCCATTTAACCAACCACCACCCCGAAACCCTACAACCCAAATCGAAACTCTAGATTCTTTATTTGGGAGTTTAAGGATTTTGAGTGGTGGCTTAAGGGGAGGAAACGGGGTGGAGACTATATGGGTAGGGAGAATTGTGTTCGCCGGCATCGGGGATAGGGTTTTGGTTGGCACCAACCGCGATGGGGAGGAAGAATTTTTCAGGGGGGAGGGGTTTAGGGAGGGGGAAGGTGGTTCGGAGGAAAGGGGGTGGCTCAGGGTTCGAGGTGGGCTGTCGTCAGTGCATGGTTTCATGGGTAGTATTCGTTGACGAGGGCTAGCTGAGGTGGGGAACAGACTAAGGTGGTGGCGTGGTTGTTGTTTTTTTTTGTTATTTATTATGTTAACTCTTTTTTAATCAAGCTAATTAGTTGTTTAATTATTACAAACATATTGTCATGTTATTAGAGAAACCTATCAAAAGTAATGCTATTTGGTAGAATTTGTAAAAAAAATTGTATTACTTTTAAAATATGTAATTTTACATGGCTATTATTGAGAATTTCTTTTAAAAATAAGGAAGTTGTACAAAGTGTGTTTAATACTTCGTATAGTTTTTCATTCAATTCATTGTTGAATTATCCTCTACATGTTATCAATATTTATCAAATAAAAGTGAAATTTAATCATAAAATATATGGCCTGGGTATATAGATATTATTCATTCATGTAATAACGTGGGCATAGCCCAACTCAAAAAGTTGTCTCACTCCTAGAGATGTAGATTCAAATACTTGGGTCGAGTTTAGTTAGCAACAATCGATCAGGTCATGTTAGGTTGAATTTTGTAAAAACTGAGTCATGTTAAATTATTATTTTATACAAGTAGAAATATAAATTGAGTTTTTTCAGATCGGATTAGTTTTTAACATGTCTAATTACTAAGCATATTATACCTTTTAATTACAATTTTATAAGGAAGATTTTGACCCCTAATTTTGGACCAAATAAATACTAATTAACTAGTAAGATCCCTCCATTTTTTTTAAAATGCATAACTTCCATGGATGTTTTTGTTTAAATGCATTATTTCCATAGAGCATCCACAATGGTTGTCCATAAGATCCTGCTAGCAATTTCTAAATAATTGCTAGCTACATGCTAACAATTATGGAGTTACAACCTCTTGTACCTAAGTCAAACTATATAGCTTTATAAAGCTATATAGTTTCACTCTACCCAATGCTATTATATTTATTTGTTTAATATAATTTATATATTTATTTGTTTTTTTTTTTTTATGGTTTATTTATTACAAAAGAATGTAGTTACCATTGTCGAGGTTGTAGCTTAAATTATGTAGCTTGAAGATTTATGATGTGCTAACCCAAAGCTACATGTATGTACATGTAGCTATGTGGATGCTCTTATATGGTAACTTTATACTACTTCCTCTGGTTTTTTTTTAGTTGACACCTTAATATTGTCACGGTTGCCAACACATGTTTTTAATGATTAATATCTCTAATCATCTACATTATAAAATTATAAAAAGTGGATATTAAGAAAATATACATTGAAACGATTCAAACAAGTTCTACATGAATATGTTTTATTGAATCTATAAACCACAAAAACTAGTCAAATCGTATTGTATAAATAATGTAAAAGTCTAATGATGTCAACTAAAAAAACGGATGAAGTATATTTTATCATTTTTCTCCTACTTTAAACCCCACTTAAATTATTTTATCATTTCTCTCTCCTCCATAGTCCCTACTTATATAATAAAAATATCTACTCTTTCTCACATAATTTCTCTTTCATGGTCTACATCTTACTTTTACTATATATAATAAATTATTTAACCATTATAATATTATATTACTCTCCTAAAACTCAGTGCATCACCTATCACCAAGTGAAGTAAATAAAAAAATGAAGGGAGTATAACATTTGTACGGACTTTGGAGTAAGTACTGCAAAATAACAAAAAGGATTGAATGAGAATTTTGATGAACTAAGAACCTTTACGTGAACTTCATCATTTAAAACTTAGCGCTTTGCCATTTTATATTAGACATTTATGCATAAGTAATTGAGTACATATTTATATTTACATTAAATTAACAATTACGTAACCAAACTTGACTGTAATTTTATATACCAGCTTTTATCTACGATTTCACACACACTGTGGAAGAAGTAAGCAAAAGTGACTACGAAAATTGTGTTTCTAGCAATGCTCTTGAAACACACACCGGTGGAAATACCACCATTACTTTGAAGGAAGGTCCATCGTACTTCATTTGTGGCACCCCTGGACATTGTGCTAAAGGCATGAAGCTACAAGTAACTGCTAAAGCTCCCGGAATGTCTACTCCGACTGGTGGCAATGGAGCCGTAGGGCTTTCGAGTGTGGCTCCCTTGATTATTGGTTTGCCACTTGCTTTGGTTGCTTTCCTTTCCTAGAGAGAGGCAGCGCAGATGATGTATCATTGGTTTAAAATTTTGTCACGCATTTTAAAATTAATATTAATAAGTGAAATCAATTAAATGTTTATATATAGCCCTTAATCCTAAAGGCGTTATACATGTCATTACTTTGAAAAACAATATTTATTTATTTGGAATTGTCTTAAATTCATAAACTCACTTTTTTTTAACTACCTATTTATTAATTTATATTAATATAATCCATACAAAATTAGAATAATTATCAACATGACAAAATTTACAAAACAATTACTTTTATTTACAAATACATAACATTGTTGATTCTGAATTTTTGTCAGTTTTAGAATAATTGACAAATTGGACTTTTCTTCATATTCATATACTACTTTCAATTCATTTTCGTACTTTTTACTCACTTACCATTATTAAAAGGTTTTTTTTTTTTTTTTTTTTTTTTTTTTTTTTTTTTTTTACTTTCAATCATTTTTACTTTATTCCTTTTATGACAACTTTATATTCATTTTTTATCATCTATGGCCCCAACCCACTTTATTATCCACGACCCCGACCCCTTACATGGGACCAAATTTTATTTAATATATCTCTTACTCTCTATATCTTTCCTCTTTAATACAAAATTACTAAGTTCCAAATTTTTTTCCTTGGTTTGCATAGATACAGTAGAATAACACTCATAAAAAATGGAGGTAGCTAGTATTCAATTTGACTACAGTTTTTTTTACTAACATAATAAAAAGGAAAACAAAAAACAAAAAAAAGACTTTTACCACCTACTCTTTTTTTTTTTAATTATGACAACAAAAATTATATATAAAAAATTAATCAAAAATTAGATTTCACAATCACTTAACGGATTCTTGGAATAGAACCCACCACGTACACCTGTTACTATGTAGTATTTATGGTCAAACTTTTACACACTGACATGTGTGCCAAGTTTGATTGTGTTAGTTATTTTGGGATAGAGGGTGGTTACGTTTTAAATAAATTTTTTAAATATGTTGTTAAATAGATACAAACATATAGAATCATAATATCATTTTTTTATTAATTCTTAAAAACTACCTCTGTTTCATAAAATCTGCAACAATCTCCCAAAACGGAAACTACATATTATGTGCAACCAAAAAAAAAAAAAAAAAACTTTTCTAATATAGTAAATTTTTTTGTGTGAATTTACCAACATACCCTTACTTAACTTCAATAAACCACCTATTAACTTATTAACCTAAATAAATTTATTCATCATAAAAACCCTAACCAATATTATCTCTTCTCCCTCATAGCCCACATCCACCACCAACATCACCAACTTTTCTCTCGCCTCCCTCTCAACCACCAGCAACACAATTTTCTCTCTCTTCTCTCACAACCACCACTCCACCACCACCACTAAGATCTAGTCGCCGCCTCCCCTGATCAAAGCCGCTAGCTCCTTGCTTCCCTTTTCAAAGTCGCCACTCCTCCTTGAAATCTCATATCTAAAGCAAAAATGCATGGTGAAAGATCGTGGTTATGAAATGGGTGTTGGGTATTGTAGGCGTCATTCGAAGTGCGCTTACGTTTAGTAAGTGTGAATATGCTTGGCACTCATAGGAAATGGGAATTGACATATACGATTAAGGACAAAGCAAATTAGAGATATGCCAACAAGATTTAAAGAACTTGTAAATCGTTTGCAGATCATTTAAGACAACTACGAAAAAAGGGACAATGATAGGCAACAACCATTGACCCATGAAGGTTACACCCCATTCATAATCTATGAGATTACTAACTCCATATGGTTCGGAACCACGAAAGGAGAATCGGGGATGATGGTACGAAGTGAGTCATGGATTCACGTTCGCTCGTATTGGTCTTTACTCGATTCTTATCGTGAAAAGTGATTCATGCGATCTCAAAGAAATACAAATAAAATATTCAATTCGCTCCAAACTATGATTATGCTAAAATTGGTTGAATATTAATGCACCACATAATTCTAAAATATTGTGATCACTTAATTAAACAACAAGATTAAAAAGGAACCTAAATCGGTTATCCAAATTATCTTATTTAAGCGTGATTTTCAATTACATATTCCCTTTAACATGCAATATGGTGAACAACAATAAATAATAGAGTAAACATCAACATTGGAAGCAATACAACAATAATAACGTTAGTCAAATCAAAGTACAATAAACCCTAATCATGATGCTAGCAACAAGAATAAAAATAACATTAATTAAGTGATTAATTACTCACTTTTCTCATTTTCTTGAATTCATCATGAATAAAATGTAAGCAACTTCAATAAATAATAAATCATATCTATATTAAATTAAAAGTAGAGTTGATTTGGTCCAAACCCTCAGTTAATTCTACCTTTCATGCCTTGGTTTAAGGATGGAACCTCGGGTATTGTATAGACTCCTTGGAGTGCTTAGGGGAAGTATTATGAGAGAAAAGAGAGGCTCGTTTTTAGGAAAAATAGGGAGAAGAGAATATTTTTGGTGTACGGAGAAAGAAAATGATTTTTGGTGCCCCGAAAGTGAAGAAATCAGGTTCGTATTTATAGAGAAAGTGTGTAGGGTAAAGCACAAAACCCTAGAAGTGAAGTGTTGCGAAGGAAAAACCCTAGAAAAAAATTGTGTCGCGCTGCAAAATACCGTGACACGATACAGCGTGCCGTGACACGTCACATAACACTGTGGCGCGATGTTTATGCCGCGACGTGACAAATCTAGTTTTTTAACGCATTTTTAAAATTATTATAAATTTTGATCTGTAACTCGTAATAGGGCATAAATTATATCGTTGGAAAGATTATCAAGTCTTCTTTCCAATGCAATTAGAGTCAGGTTATAAGTTTTTTATATTTTAAGATATGGTTGTTTTAGTGAAAGGGTATCAGTTTTGGGCTGAGTTTTGGGGAGACATTTTTAGGTGTCTAGAGGTATCTTTGTGGTGTGTAAGTTTTGGTGGATAGCATAAAATTAGGTGGGGTGGGGTTTTTGATGGTTATGGTGCGTGGGGGTTTTGTATCTTGGTGGTGGTGTGTGAGAAGGTGGATACGTGGTGGGTTTTTTGTGGTTTTGGATTATGTGGTGGTGCGTGAGAAGGTGGTGAGAGGGTGGTGTGTGAGAAGGTGGTTACACGGTGGATTTTTGGTGGTTGTGAGTTGGGTAGGGTGGGTTTTACGCATGTTTCAGATCTTGTGGTGGTTAGAGGGTGGGTAAACAGTGGTAGGGTGGAAAATGTTTTTGCGCGGTGGTTGTGCGGTGGTTCTGCTGCTGGAGTATGTGCGTGTTGGTGGTGGTACACTACTAAAAATAGGCCGAATTCCAACGGAAGTGTTCCGACGGAAGTGTTCCGACGGAGACGAAAATCCGTCGCAAATCGTAAAATTTCCGAGGGAATAAAATTATGTCGGAAATTTCCGACGAAAATATTCCGTCGTAAATTTCCGACAATTTCAAATAAATCTGACAGAAATTTCGTAGGAAAATATATTCCGACGGAAAATACTTCAAAACTAAATTAATTTCTGACGGATTTAAATCTGTCGGAAACTTCTGACGGAATTTTATGTTGAAAAGACATCTGACTATAATTTTTTTTAAAAGAAAATCATATAAATAGCTAACCCTAAATCAAATCCCTCATTTCAGTCTCCCTTTCTTTCTCCCCTCTTTCCCTTACATCGCCGCACTTTCTCTTTCTCTTAAATCTTCATCAATATTCTCTCTTTATCTCTGCTCTCTTGCTACTCCCTCTCTTATTGATCTCCTTCGCTACTCCCTCTCTTCTCTTTATCTCTCCTTCGTTGTTGATTTCCGAAGCTAGGCTACAAAGCATCCTTGTAACCCCAACCAAGTTCCCGGCATGTTATGGTTTTAAGGTCAAGTTCGACCATGGAAACGCTAGATCTAGCATTTTCATGGTCAAATTTGGCCTCATATAACCAATTTCAAGACGTTCTTGGTCGAATCGTTGTGGTAAGTTTTTTGTTCTGAATTTCAACTTTTTTTTGTTTTGTTTTCATTTTTTTCGGGTTTCATGTTTACTAGACCGAATATATGTGGTTGTGGTGGTTGTTCGGGTTCAGTTTTTGGGTGTTGGGATTTTAATTTTTTTTTTTTTTTTTTGTTAATTTTTGGGTTGTGATGGTTTGTTTCGGCGGTGGCGGTGGTGGTTTTCCTTAGTGGGGTGGTATATCTAGGCTCATTTGTGTGGGTTATGGCCTGGTTAGATGGGTAGGGGTTTTGGTGGTTGTTGGTGGTGAAACGGGTTCGGGACTGTTGATTTGTGTAAGGAGGTTGGTGGTGGGGGTTAGTTAGGGGCTAGTGTAGTGGCGGTGGTTTGATGTGGGTGATACTGGTGGTGGTCTGATGTTGGGGTAGGGGTTTTTTTGCTGGTTGGAGGTGGTGATACGACGTGCCAGTGGTGGCGCGACGTGTTTTTTTTTTTTAATTTCGTTCAAGCATTTTCCGATTGAATTGTAAATTCCGTCAGAAATTTTCGACAGACTTTTACGGCGTTGAAACCCTCTTTCGACGGAAAATTCTGTCGGAAGGAGTAATTTTTCCTACAAAATCCTTTCCGACAATCGATTGCAACAACATTTTGTTAGAAATGGGTTTTTCTTAGGATTTCGGGGAGTTTCCGATGGAATTTTTCCGTCGAAAATGAGCTTTTTTCTAGTTGTGGTAGGGTGGTCAAATGTGTCGAAGGTGATGTTAATGGTGGAGAATGTGGGTGTTGGCGGTGGTAGGGTGGTCATTTTGGGTGCTAGGGTGGGCATTCTTGTGGGTGGCTTCACTAGTAGAATAAATGTGATGGGAAGCTATAATTGGAAAGCGGTTTACATAATCCGCTTCCCATTTACTTAATATAAAAAAATTGAGAAATGAATTGGCAAGCGGTTTGGCACGAACTGCTTGCAATTTAACTAATGGCAAGCGGTTTAGGGTGGAACCGCTTACCATTTAGTAAGCGGTTCAACCCCAAACTGCTTTCCCCTTTTAAAAAAAAAAGCGGGCTTCATCAAGGCTTCCCCCTCTTCTCCTCTCTGCCGTTCACTTAACACAAAAATCCCAAAAAAATTTGCTCTCTCGC